TCTCAGGGTCACACCCAGGAAGGGATTAGCCATGTGTTACCCTGAATAAAGTTTGTGTCTCTCATAGTGACATCCGATTTTTTTTTTAAATATTTGTAGTGGGGCTATATGGGAACTGAACAGCACAGAGGAGGACATTCCATACAAGAGCCTTCTGGGGTTGGGGATCTCACAGGACTATGGGAAGCACCTTCAAGGTACCTAGTTTGTACCCCTGATGCAGAGCATACCCTCCTTGAACTTGTTCCCTGCCAGCCTCAAGACTGTGTCCATAGAGACAGATGACAGGGCTCAAAGGAGCAGTCAGGACAGGCTGTTTTTTGTTTGTTTGTTTGTTTGTTTGTTTGTTTTTTATCACCCCTGATGTTGGACATTCTTTGTCCCACAGGGATCTTTTGCATTCCCTCAGATGGTGCCCAGCACTGAGATGTCCACAGTGAGATACCCTGGAGAAGGGATTTGTACACTGGACACAGAGAACAAAAGCCAGGGCTTCATGAGAACTCAAAGGGTAAATGATAGAGTAGAAGAGGAGAGGGGGACTGTGTGTGTTCCTTGGGGATGAAGGGATGTGCCTAGCTGTGGGTGACAGGTTACAGAGCCAGTGACCAGGATTCAGAATCTGAAAGCCTTGGCCTCATGCCTGGCTCTACAGGCAGACCTGAATCCTCAGTGCCTCCCCTAGTTCTTCCCCCTCAGTCCTGAAGACCCAGCAGGAGTCCATTTTCCTGCAGCACACCCCACCATGATGTCACTACCTTGTTAGGTATTGGTTGTTTGGTTTTTTTGTCAACTTGACACAAGCCAGGATCATCTGGCAAGAGGAAACCAAGGTCCTGCTTCTATAAGAAAGCAGGCTGAGCAAGCCATGGGGAGGAAGCCAGCAAGCAGCATTTCTACATGGTCTCTGCTTTAGTTCCGGCCTCCTGGGTTCCTGCTGGGAGCTCCTGCCCTGACTTCCCTCAAAGACTGACTGTGATAGAGCTGTGGAAGCCAAATAATCCCTGTGCTGTCCCAGCTTCTTTCCGCAGCAAACTCGGACAATCATCAAATTATGAGCTGATCCCTCACCCATTATCTCAAACATTCCCATTCCTTCCTCGCTCTGGTCCACATAATAACCCAACTTCTCCTGCCCTGCCAGAGGTTCTTCTGATGTCACCTGTCCCCTAAAGGGACACTCACCCAATTCTGTTGCTCCCTTTGAGCACCCCCCACCACTCACATGTAGAAAAGCCTGTGCCCCACAGATATCCATTGCATCAGTGTTGATGAGGAGCTTAGGGTATGACAATAGAAAGCCGTATCTGTAGAACCAGACCGTGGTCCCACCACAGACACTCAGGATGAGCTCAAGGCTTCGGTTTCTACTTGTGCAAAAGCTGGTGGTCCTGTGGGATGCAGAGTCTGAGCTGTACCACATCTATAGCACCTGCCCCACTGGGGTCCCCTGAACTGCCTCCTGCATCACGGACTCATTCCCAAGGTCATTGATCCAAAACTTGGTGCCATCTCCAATGGCTTCAGTACTGCATATCACAACCAGACTCATGGCTGCCCAGCTCTGTATCTTCTATATCCTATCCTGGACTCTAGGACTTCCCCTTGCTCTCTCACTTAGAACCTGGACTCTACTAGGACAAAACACAGGTATCTTCTGTTCAGTATGTTCTCACGTCTAGCTCTTTCTATGTGGCAGCCACAGCAGCTGCTTCCTAAATCCTAACCTTCTAATCCATAGCCGCTCAGCTCTCCCTCTGACCGCACCCTTCTCCTCCACCCTGGCTTCCACAGAGCTCACTTCACCCTAGTACAACACCAGGGACACCTGGCTGCCTCCTCCCTTGAGGTTCACACCCACTCTAGAACGTGGTTGTGCAAGACTCCATGCATTCTCTTAAGGAAGCCATGACTCTGCAGGGATGTGGTTCTTCTCACATCTGCTCTTCACCTTCTCTCCACCCCCAAACCGCCCCCCCACACACACCTTGATGGTGATGGTGTCTATCCATTCAGGAATATTAACAATTGGGAGCTCTTTGGGTACTAGCCAGGCATCTCCTTCTGCTCACATAGAAAGAGATCCAGACCAATCTCTCTAGTACTGGATTCTAAAACACTGTCAAATGACGGTGATGCATGAGAGAGGAGCAACCAGGCAACTCTCCCACTGCCCTGTTTTCTTCCTGGAGATGGGGAGACCAAACTTGGCACAGTTCTCTAGTTAAGTTGCAGAGATGTGAGAATTAGGAGCTACCAGGCTCGGGCCAGAACCAGTGTAGCTGGGTAGGAGAAGGGAGAAGAAACTGCAACCCCAGAATGTGAATGGGAGTCACCTGAGTTCTTAGTCAAATCCTTAACTGCCTTGACCCGAAGGCCAGACAAATGGGACATTGAGGAAGGAATGGTGGCCAGGAGCCTGAACTGATCATGTGCTATGGTTCATATAGTCTAGAATGAAGTGGGCTCTACCCTGCCTGAGGAAGAAGTCTATGAGCCACCCAAAGATGGGTTAGAGACGCATAGGAACTGACTGACCGATTCCAGAGTGGGGTGCTCCAGGCCCATTCTAGCAGAACTTTAAAGCAGGTCTTGAAAGAATCAAGCTCTTCTGCAAGTAAATCAGCTGCCTGAGTTAGCTTGCAATGGTTGCCAGGACAAAAGACCAGACACCAGGCCTTTGACAGCACTCATGTGTCCTCAGACTTCTGGTGGTTGGAAGCACAAGATGAAGGTGTCAGCAGGGTCAGTTCCTTGTGAGGCCCTCCTCAACAGGAAGAAGGCAGCATCTTCCTGTGTTTCACAAGGCTGAACCTCTGTGGAGTATAACTGCCTCTCTTCAGAGACACCTGCCTAACCTCACAGGATTTTTATCCTGGAAACTTGGAGCAATCCTCCATATTCCCATGACTCTTACATGCTGCATTTTATAAAAGCAGTGACCAAAGGGATTGATCTGCCACCAGACTGATAGGTAGCCATGATCTCTGGGACCACTGCTACCACGACCCCCAAGTGCCTTACAGCCGAACCTGGGAACCCTTTTCTTGCAAGGCTCTGTGGAACAGCAGGGCCTGGGGACTCTCTCCTGTCAACGACTCCCACTGCAGTGACTCTTCTTTCTAATGTCTAAAGTCTAAAGTCTCTCAAGTGAGTTTTTCACGATACACTCAGGAATATTTGGAGGGCGGGATCCTGCCCTTCAGTCACCTTCTCTCCTGGTCCAGTGCAGAGGGTGAGGGCTTTTTTGAATGACACTAAACTCCCTGACAATGGGATGTTTCCTCCAACCTTGCTTTGTGTACAACTTTCAATATTACTGTATTCCTTTCCTTACAAACGTCACGTGGTTCTTATCACTTGGCTTTGCTTTTTGCTCTGGATTCTCACCCTAAGTTTGGGTAAAAGCATCAAGCCACAGCCGCGCCATAGCCTGAGTGTTATCTTGTCTTGAAATTTGCACCACCATAGAAAATTAGTCCATGCCTTTGAATCCAGATTCACTTGATTATGTAGGACATGGGCAGAACGTGTCCAAATTCTTCAGCAGAATAGAAACAAACGGATTCTCACTCAATTCCAAAGAAGGTTTCTTCTCCTCTGAACTCCCATGAGCATGTTCGCTGTGAACATTTTTATCTGTATTCTGTCAGGGATTCTGAACTCCTGCCAGAATGTCCCCTTGATTTCTGCTAGCAGGATTCTAGGATTTGCCTAACGTCATCTACAAACTCCTCTACATTGTTCTCGGACAAGTGGCAAAGGCTGTGACCCATGCGGTCAGGTTTAATCACAACACTTCTCTCCATACTAATTCTTCTATTAGTTAATTTCCCTCTTGGAGCGATAACGTATTGACAGAAGCAAATCCCGGGAGCAAATGTTAACTTTGACTCACAGTTGGAGGAAGGTTTCAGCGCATAATAGCAAAGAAAGCAAGCGTGGTGTATCGACTCCATGGACGTGAGGGTGTGGGGCGGAGTCTTCATGTGGCATCCAGACCAGGAATCAGAGGGCTCAGGCTAAAATAGAAGGTGATGTTCCTTCACAGCCTCTCCTAG